GGGCATGTCCCTCCACTGTGGAAGAGAGGAGCATGACAGAAGAGATAGTTGGGGAGGTTAACGGCGGACCGTCGAATAGTGGTCACATTGACCTGGTCAGTGGGGAAAGCCAGGAGGTTGAGCCCCCTCCTGATGTACAAGCGGACTGCGCATCCGAAAAACAGCAAGAAGAACACGCAGAGGCATTCGACAACTCCCGCAAACTAGCGGCATTGATTTTCTTGTGTAGGGGCGGTGTGGGCATGTCCCAAACTGACGTTGACTGTCTGTTGTCACTCCTAAAAAATCCTAGATTTGACCCCAGAGATATCGCATTTCGTAACAGTCGTGAGTGTCTGACATGGGCAGGCCGCCAGGCTGAAGCTGCAGGGTGGCAAGAGGAGAATGTACGCAGTGATGATTGACCCAAAAAAGCGCATGTCATTTTGTGGTACCGCGACTGGCGCACAACATTCGCTGACCTCGTGCGTGCTGCACTGAACAACGTTGAAACAGTGTCTTGCCTCGAAATACAACATCCCGGGGAGGACATCGAAATCTGTGACTCTCGCACGGGGCAGTTGAGTCACCATGTCCAAACTGTTATCAGAGCGGACAACGGTGTTGACACGAATGGTAGAACACGTTATGTCATCCCTCTGTCTCTGTATTCAGACAAGACTCATGTAGACGGTCGTCAAAAGCAGACAGCGTATCCTCTGATGATGTCAATCCCCCATCGCCCATCAGATGCCACACTGCTTGCGTATCTTCCAGTGCTTCAACACCGGCCACGTGACAAGGGCTGGGGTCCGCACTCCACTGCGTTTAGAAAACGGAAAACTGTGATATTCCATAAAGCGTTGTCAACGGTATTGCAGTCCGCAAAGGAGGCATCCCATGACGGCATGATGGTAACAACGGAGCGGTTCGGTGAGATAACAGTGCACCCTTTCATCATGAACTATATACAGGACTATCTTGAAAGGTGTGCCCTTGCAACTGTGAAATTCAGTGTTTGTCCAACATGCACAGTGTCCAAAGACGATTTGGATGTCATCTCCAATTTCACCAACTGCAGGAGATCGCAGACGCTAGAGACGCAACTTGCCGCGGACTGCTTCAACAGTGGGGACAACGACATTCGTCGTGCTGCTGAGGCACGAATGTCAGAATTGGACATGCATAAGCATGTTTAAGAGAACGGCCTATGGGGATTCTACAGGGGTCCGCATGGTGACGATCCTGAACTAGATTACCATCTCGCTTTGCAACCAGACCGTATGCACACCATTGAACACGGCATTTTTTTGCATATGATAGATGCATTCAAGGCAGCTGCTTATAAGAAGTTGCCAGATACCACGCAAAGCGAGATATTGCACGAGATGGATGCGAGGTTGCAGAACATCAGTGAGAGATCCACACGGACATACCCGCAGCTTGTGTTGCCCGTAGCCACAGGTTGTGATTTCTTTTCAAGGGAAGGACGATTTGAAGCGAAGCAAAATCGGTCTGTTATGACAGTTTGAGTGTTTATTATTTGAGATATCATCCCACGTGCGACAGGCAAATCCATTTCCGCTTGTTTCATCAAGCTCATGGAAATGTACATACACGTGTTTCGTAAGTCAACCCACACAGCGTCCTCTCTCGATGTTTGTGACACATTGATAGGTGATTTCATAACTAGTATAAAAACGAAGATGAGAAAATATCAAACCTCTGATTGGAAAATTCCGAAGTTACATAACCTTATGCATTTGAGAACAAGCATAGAGCGATCTGGTGTTCCCGACACGTTTGCAGCTGATGTGTGGGAGCATAATCATCAGAGGTTCTGCAAACAGCCATATTTGTCATCAAACAAATGTAAGGCTGCTTCCCAGATGGTGAATCATATCCGACGCTCATTGGCTTTGCAGGATGAGATGGACAGTGTGAGAAAACGCAGGAAGAGGCCGACAGAAAATTGGTCATCCGTGATAGAGTGCATTGCCACCGAAAGTAATACCCTGGCAGCGGGCAACACAGCAACTCTACAACTCCGGTGGTTCCAGATGGACGATGTGCATTTGCCAGGCGTAGAGGGTATGAGCGATGCGGCGTGGAGAATACTTAATGAGCTTCCCCGCAGAGAGGATTTTCGAGCTGCACTTACGACGTTCATGACAGAGATGGGTTATCAACCTCCATCTGATGACCAAGTCATACACACTTGAACGCACTTGACTATCGCCTGCACATACGACGGGACGCACAGGGGCGCAAGCGTTCAGACGGCAAGAGCTTCACCACAGTTCCACGGGAGAGCCGTGCACATCGATGTTGCAGTGAAAGGTGGCAATGACAACATATGGTATGCATTAGTAGCCATGTTTTTCGTCATGAACGCTTGCACACATGGTGTTGCGGAGATGCACAAGTGTTGTTTCGTGTAATGGTACAAAGAGGTGGATAGCGAAAGGGAACACACAACAGGTTGTAAGAAGTTGCAATGGGAGAAGGTGAACGGTCATCAGCACAGTAGCGTCATAACGATTAATACCATCATTGACATCGTTCACATTGTTCCTCGTTTTTGTAAACCACAGTGGGGCTCAAAGAAGAATGCAAAAGAGAGGGAGGACAATTTTTTGTTGAATAGATATGTACTCTAGAAGTGTACAAAGAATTACTCATTGTGAAAAAAACAAAAATTAAAAGGCTGATCGTTTTTCCGAGAACAATAAGTGGTGGGCGCAGTTGCAATATTATACTACAGCATGCACTTAACTTTTGTTTTTCTTTTACAGAGAGAGAGAGAGAGAGAAAAAAAAAAAAAAAAAAGCGTTTGAACAACAATAGTCATTTGCTAAAGATGGAGTCCGAACATCGGTAGATTTTTCGAGCGCGGAGCCTGCATTTCAGACCACTGTTGCATAGCTTCTGTGTCATCTTACACAGCAATGTAGAGAAAGGTGCATCAAACGAGTGTGTATGACGAAGGTAACTTCAGAGTTGACTACTGCGTGCACTTGTGTGGCAAACGTGGACTTAAAAAGTGGGAGGTGGCACGCACTAGTCAACCCATGTCTATACTTGCCAAGTTACTGACGAGATGTGGTTCATGGCCATGTGACTGCCATGTGAACAGGAAAGGTTGAGGTTGAGGTAACGCCACAATAACAATCTGCACTGGAAGAAATGGCAAGACAGCAAGCGGGAAAATAAGAGTATTGAGGAATTGCTAAGAAGCCGATTTAGACTGACACTGCCATCAGTTGTCACATCTGTTGTACGACGGAGAATAAGGGTTGTTCAGATGAGCCAGTTTGACAAAATCCACGAGGGGGTAGATGGCAACGGTTGTATCATGGGCTCCAAAGCGACAGACAGTTCAGAAACAGCAAGGAATGACGAACACTCATGTGGACCAACTGTCACGGAACCGTTGCTCCCATTGAGCATTGAGAGATCGGTGAATCGATGAAAGAGAATACTGGAGGACCCTTGGTATGCGAAAATGTATCAAATGATGGCCACAGATGACGCCCAATATCCTCAGATGGTGCATGAACCTTTGTTCAATATTGCAGGAGGCAATCGGTCGACGGGTATGGCTGCAGAGGCTGGAAAGAGACCCAAGAGGGTGGACGAGGAACACTTGTTCCTGTTCACGTGGAAATCAAGAAGACACGCCATATTGATAACAAAACGGGACGTATTGCGATTGGGTGCCAAGCAGTGGCTGAACGATAACGTGATCGATATGTACTTACAGTCCATCTATGACGAACATTTTCGAGACGGAGACAATATGACACTTCATGTTTGCACATCTTTCTGGCACCCCACAGTCATCGCTAATCATAAGGTTTATATCGCGAAAGCGGGATGGCAGGGGCGGATCAAGAGTACATCGCCAAAGCTGCGTCGAATAAGCAATGAACTGCGAACAACAAGTATTGTTCTCATCCCTATGAATCACGAAAACCATTGGAAATTGCTCTTGCTACTGAATGTCGGTCAGTTTTTGGCAGTCACGGAGGACAACGATGACCAGAAACGACCTATTGCGATCGTTATCGATTCCTTTCAACAGAACGGCCGACAGGAATGGAAGGCATTGCGCACATTTTTGTGGTATGAATACCTCAGTGAGGCAGACAAAGCAAGGGTGTTCACTCCCGACACAGTGGACACGTCGTGGGTGACATTGAGAGATCTACTTGGATCTAAGATAGTGTACGCTGAATGTTCGCAACAGACCAATACGTTGGACTATGGTGTTTACGTTTGTTGCATGACAGCTTAATTGATGCGAAAGCTAGCAAAACTAAGTAAGCACACGAACATTACCGCAAAATATATAACAAAAGTTGTTAGCGCGATGGAGGTTGACGACCAAACGGTCGACATATTTCGTCAGCCAATGGTACAGCGCTTTGCGCAGTGTGCTGTCGAGGCAAAATGATATAACACCGCAGCAGCATGTGACATAGAAAATGTTTTCAGAGATCTCATAGACGGAACACGGAGTGGATGTTCGTAAATACGAGGGCATGATAGAAACCATGAGATCAGGAAACACGAAGTTGACAACCGCGTGCAAATATACAGAACTCACACGTCGTAGAGAAGTCAATCGGTACGCAGTAGCCAACTTCTGCGCTCTGTCGATGGATGAATGCGTGATGTAATAAAGAAAAAAATATCGTCTTTCGTGTCATAACGCCAAAAAATATCTCTCTCTCTCTCTCTCTCTCTCTCTCTCTCTCTCTCTCTCTCTCTCTCTCTCTCTCTCTCTCTCTGCGTGTGAAAATCTTGCTTGGGGTGGTGGATGACAAATGGTCGTTGTATAATATAAAATCATTCCATGTCCAACGTGAGTGTTTGTGAATTCATGCATGTCAGAGACTTTTAATAAGCATGAAGAGAATGGCTCCGAAGCCAAGGTACGAGGATCTGTGCAAGACCTTGAAGTCCACAGGGGGGAGAGAGAAGGGGGAGAGGATAGCAAAGGAAGGCCAGAAGACTGTCAAGCAAAGACATACCATTCGGGATATTCCCCGATTCAAGAGACGGGAGATGAACATAGTCTGTAGAACAGAAGCTGTGCTCTCTGTCCCGCCGAAAAAAAAGTAGAGTGGGAAACTGCTCGCACACAACAAGTTACCTGCCGCGACTCCCTTGTTGCAGAAGGGACACGGCAACCTCGAGAGGCAGCCTCCGATAGCGTCATAGAAGAAAAGACGAGAAGAAAAAGCATAAAGTCAACAACTGAGGACAAAGAGAAGAATAATATACAGAAAAGATAGGAGTCCTGAAGCAATCGACCTCAGAGGGTCATACGATTTACGAACCACATCTCAGGAGGAAGACGAAGAGGAAAACTGTGCGGAAGAAATGTCAGAAGAAGTAGAACACGAGAGAATGCAAGAACGAGGAGAAGGTGATAACAGTGACGGTCACCATGATGTCGATGCAGAGGAGAGCGATCCGGAGGGAGAAGAGGCAGAGGGAGAGGATAGATCCGAGGAGGGCGGAGAGGCAGAGGAAGGCAACAGTGAAGACGAAGAAAGAGAGATTACATCTGCTGAGAACAGTGCACAATGCGGAACTGATGAGAAAAAGGGAGGCGCACCGGAGACTTCATCGAACGACAAATAAATTGTGGAAAGGGAGAATGTACCGCTACAGGGTAAGATGAAGGGCGCCTTATAAAGACACCACTATTTATGCACAGCACAGTCATTGTTGCATGCCGCAGAAATGACGAGGTTCACGGGGGGGAGGGGGGGAAGGGGAGGGGGCCGTAGGGAGGGGGTCTTTATGAGAGGTGTTACAAAGTGTATTCGGAGGAGGGTATGGCAGGGGAGTTGACGATCTTATGTTTGTTTGTGATTGCAACACATAGAACACGTATCGAGGAGGGTCTTCTTATTACTAAATCAATAATTTGTTGTTATTTTTGTATTTTTTTTCCAGATTGCATCAATTTGCGTAGGAGAAGCAGCACCGGTGGAGGCAATGCTGGCGAACTAACAGAGCAACAAATCAGGGGTTTTACAAAGAAAATGAAAGACAAACTATTTCGTTCGGTGGCAAAGGCCTTTGCTTTTTCTGCAGCAAAGGATGCCACGCTGTACCCAACGGAGGACATTTTTTTCACGGCACTGCAAACAACTGCGAAATCGATAGGAGAAGATGTGGAGGAAGGACTACGGTTGCACGTTGCAACGTACGGAATCCAAGCAGTGATCAGGGAATGCAATCGGATTATGACAACGGTCCGCGGCGAGATATCTTGGCAATTGAGACATTGGTTTTGGGCCGAAAAAGGTCTGCCGCTGGTCCGGTCGGCCCAAACGGACCACCAGCTTCCGACTCGCAACAGGATGCGTGCAGAGATGAAAGGGAACACAACATGGAGAAGGAGCGGCAATGATCCATGGGGCGCACCTCCTTTCAAGACGACATTGACAAAAGTTTTTCAAATGAGAAGGGATGACATCAACCTCGGTGTAACGTTGTAGCAACTTGCATTTGCGGAACTTGTACTGAAAACTGAAGTCGAACAGACGGCAAAGACCAGCAAGGCAGCGGACCAAATACAAAAACTTGCAACTATCAAGAAAGAGATTGCTGCGTCGCTCCGCTCCCGAGACACCGTTTTAAGCTTTTCTGTCTTCAAGCTTGACCGTGCTGTTTCTGTTGCAGAGAAGGCCGTCGCATTGTACAGAGCCGGGTTGCCTRCTGTACGGAGGGGAGACGCCAATAACATGACTACAACAAATGATGATTTTGAACTTGAGTTCATTGCGCCCACCGACGACAAACGTGCAGGCGGAGAGAGAAACGAAGAAAGTTTGTACGCAAGGCCGTGAAAAGGAGAAGAAGGCGTCCGGATGTAGTTGGACGGAGGTTGAGGGTGGAACATAGGGAGCAGACAGTGGCAACGGTGTTGTAGGGGACATGAGCTGCACCTCCACTCACAGTCAGTGGCATGACACCAAGCCAATGAGGACCAAAATGTAAAATATAAGAGAGAGAGAGAGAGAGAGAGAGAGAGAGAGAGAGAGAGAGAGAGAGAGAGAGAGAGACAAGGATAGAGTTGTTATCCGAAAACAAAAGACTCTGGAGAACCCTAAGGGCTGAGTGTACATTAAGCAAACATGTTTTATTTAATGAATGATTTTTGTACTAGTCCTGTCGTGGATGTGTTTCGACCATCACATGGCACTTGTGTCTCGCATCTCACATTACTCACCATCAATTTATAGTTTACATGGTTGCTTGTCTTGCAAGGATACGCACTGCGTCATGTGTAATGTGGCCCAAAATATGTCAGCGTTTCATTATGCAAAAACACGAATCATTTGGTTCGTTTGCAGAAAACGCATTACAGACTTCCAAAAATGTTCAATATGATGTCTTAAAGCAGTATTGAGAAGACACTAGAAAACATGTTCATCTTAATACGAGGCGAGAAGTACACGAGTGGTTGACTACTGCGTGCCATGTTCTTGTCGTGCATATGAGTGATGCTGGAAATTGGCACCCGGTAACCAACCTGCGTTTCAATATCGTTTTGACACCCCTATGGACATTTGCCTTTGCAGCTGCATTCAACGTTCATAGAAGCTACATAGACCCCCGAATAATATAAATAGCAACAGGGCAAGTTTTCTGCCATCATCAGTACGGGAGGGAGAATGACTCTCTCTCTCTCTCTCTCTCTCTCTCTCTCTCTCTCTCTCTCTCTCATATCATTTAAACAACATTTCAACAACATTTCATCACATTTAAACAACATTTCAACAACATTTCAACACATTTAAACAACTTGTGAACAACATTACAACAACTTATAACTAGCTTATGAACAACTTTTCATCAATTGAAAAAGTTTTTAACACAGGGTCACATATTTATGACATATGTTATCAACGTTGAGTTCCTTCACTTTTGGTGGAACACATGACACTACCTCCGGCAAACTATTTATTAACCCGGAACCAACAGTTTAAAAAGGGTGCCCGCATATGATAAACTGCCCAAAAAAAAACCACAATTTTTCGATTGAATAAGGCCTCAAATCGAGGATAGTGCCATCAGCAAAACCGGTCTGGACAACGAAGATTGACAGATCTCCCTGTCTGAAACCAATGGCACTAACATACTGATAATGAAATGCCTCTTTGCATGAGATCCGATTGAGGTTGACCAGCATTGACTCACTGACCGGAGTAGACTGAGTTGTGCTCATGAGTACTCTTGCCAATACAAGCTGATCAGACGGTCCGGGAGAACAGGTTACCAAACCGATTGCAGGAAACTGATTGTTGAAAACTGATTGCTAGAAACTAATCACTAGTAACTGACTGTTGATGCTTGATTGCTGATTAGATGATTAGTGAATGTCCGGATAAAGTGAGCAGCACCTATTCAGAGGCTAAACGCTCACTGATGGCTGCCAACAGTCCTCCTTGTTTCCTCAGTAGTACCCACAAAAGTTATGGTGACACATAGTCTGTCGTTCTTATCCTCCAGGTAGTATGTGTACTCTATTTTTTTATTACTTCTCACAAGGGTCAGTGCTTGTTCCATCATCCTAGTAGTCCGCTGATTGTACTCATCAACTGCACTCTCCCTCCAGGTCTCTTTAACACTCTGATACAGCGAGCAGGAGACTTTAACTGTGTTTCTGCTGTCCATATTCTCGCTGAATTCTCGCTACATCAGTTCACCCAGCTCGAGACGGGTGACTCTTGGGTGATCTAAATATGAGAAGGCTATTGTGTAGGTTGCTGTTTCGAATAGTTGTTTCAGATTACCGTTTCTTATTGCTGTTCCTGGTTGCTATTCTCCGGTTGCCGTTCTCTAGATGCCGCTCTCTGTTGTCGTTCGCTCGCTGTTTAGTTACCAGTTAACTGCTGCTACTGAGATTACTGCTCGGAAGGATTATTTCCAGCTACTGGCTGGTTGTTGTTCTGAAAACTGATTAGTTGCTATTCTGAAAACTGATTAGTTGCTGTTCTGAAAGCTGAATGGTTGCTGTTCTGAAAGCTGAATGGTTGCTGTTCTGAAAACTGAATGGTTGCTGTTTTGGAAACTGAATGGTTGCTGTTCTGAAAACTGAATGGTTGCAGTTTACCGTCGTGGCCATAATAGTACAACACATATTCGATATATTTCTTCCCTTCAGCCATCCCGACGACGACTCCCCTCCTCCCATCCCTCTCTCTTGTCCCTGATTAAACTACCTTTCACCACCAGGATCTCCTCCTCTCTCATTGCTCCTTTTCGCGCCTTCTAGAGCAGTATCGATGGCAAGATGGATTATCGACCACTGTCAGTTTCCATTTTTAAGGGGGATAGCCAGACTTCG